AATTGGAGGAATCAAAAACTGGATCAGACCAGCAAGAACCGGATAAAACTGGAAACTGGATAAAATCGGTAGAATCGAGTTTTTGAATTTTCAACTTTAAATAAAAGACTGGAAATGCCTTTTCTAGCACCTCTGGCTCAAAATCAGGTGTTAGTGTTGTTTATTTTTCAATAATAAGCTTCTCCATAACTTTTTCCTCCCTTAATAGTGTTCCTGCTGTCTTTTGAGTTCACCGTCGTTGGAGTTTGCGGAACTTGTGGTGGAGTGAGTATACGTTAAATGATCAGACATGAGAGTAAATTACTTGTGTTGCTGCCAGAGATCTTGGCCAATGTATGCATCGTGTTGTTCTACATACAGTCAGCGGATCTTGTCATTTTGGTTGGATCAAGATTAGAATCTGAAAGCGGTGATGTGAATGGATAGTATGGTACTAGTTTAGATCCCTATGTGCAATGAGAGGGAAGTAATTAAGGAGTATCAAGATCCACGTGTATTATTTTTAGCTAAGTTGCGGTTTATATTAATGCATTAAAGAGTATATTAAAATGTTAATAAAGTGTTTTTTCAAACTACATGTGAGGGCTCCAATTCCAATTAATATTTTCATTTTCAATATAGTATTAAATGTAAAAAATTAATATCACAAATATTTTGATTTTTTTTTTTTAGTCCCTTGCCATTAACATTGAATATTAAATAGTTTTATATCTCATATATCTAATTTTTTAAAATATCTTCTAATTTTATTATTTTAAAAGAAGGGATTCACCTTATTTGAGTCAATAAAAAAAATATAAAAAAGAAGTTGAAATTTGAAATTTGATGAAAATGAAAGTATTTTTTTATATATAAGTCTTTTAATTTAATGTAGAATAATCACCCTATTTGAGTAAATAAAAAATAGAAAAATAATACAATTTGAAATTAGATGAAAATGAAAGTTCTTTTTATGCATAAATCTTTTCATTTAATGTCGAAAAATTGTTTTTAATTTTATAGAATTCAATTCAATTATATATATAAATATTTTTTTTATGATGAATGATTTGAAAATAAATTTATATTTATAATTAAATTATGGATTTTTTTGTTAAAAAGTATTTATAACTGTATATTTTATTTTATCATGAATAAAAAATAAAAAAGCAAGATACCACCCTGTCATGAAGATGGTTCAACATCCGGTCCGGTTTTAAAAATATTGATTTATATTATGTGTATAAAATATGTTATATCATGATTGTGTTATCTGATTATGATAAAATCTTATGTCATGATAATATGTGATATTATGAATGCTTATGTGTTTTTCTCTGCTATAAATTGAAAAATTAACACCACTAAACTTTATGTTTACTGCATTGACTTGTCACGTGCGAGTTGCTGACTTTCGGGTAAACGATCTACAACGAGCATCAAACTATTCAGAGACTCTTATTTTGCTACCATCAGTTTTAAACCTAATTTTCCTTCTTTCAGTTTCTTATGGAACTCTAGTGGCATGTAAATATAAATTAAGATGCTATGATATTTTTATTTGAGTTGAAATGTTATGAACTAAATTTTTTAAAATAATGATTTTATTTCCAGAATCAAAATATTTTATGGCATGTAATGAGTATTTTAAATGCTTTCAATTAAATGAAATTGTTTATTAAAGTGTGTTGAATTTTGATGAGATGTAATGATCATTGGTTGAGGATATTGATTTGTGATGGAGAAAATATTTGAAAATGTAGTTGAAACGTGATTATGGAAGTGTTTAAAATACTTTTATGTGTGTTTTTCAGATAATCAATATATAAGGAAAACTAATGTAGTTTTTCTGTAGGATTTTTGTGAAAATTTTTGTAGGTAATGTTTGTAAAACTAAAGAAATATTTTTAAATGATTAACTATTAATTATGACGGTTTAATCTTTAATATAGGTAATGTTTGTAAAACTAAAGAAATATTTTTAAATGATTAACTATTAATTATGACGGTTTAATCTTTAATATAGGTAATGTTTGTAAAACTAAAGAAATATTTTTAAATGATTAACTATTAATTATGACGGTTTAATCTTTAATATAGGTAATGTTTGTAAAACTAAAGAAATATTTTTAAATGATTAACTATTAATTATGACGGTTTAATCTTTAATATAGGTAATGTTTGTAAAACTAAAGAAATATTTTTAAATGATTAACTATTAATTATGACGGTTTAAATGATTAAAAAATTATGACACAATTGCTAAACCAATCATTATCTAAAATAAAACTAAAACAAATATGAAAGGCATGAGTCTTAGTTGGATTTAAAAAATGAAGAATACAACTCAAATGGGGTAAAAGCATTATATTAAGGGATTAAAATAATAAGAGAAGAGAGGAGAGAGCATAGTATTGCGTGTAGCAGAGTATGGGGCGGTTGGGTGGCCCACACAGCCTTTGAGAAGGGTTCTGATTTTTGTTAGTTTGTGAGCAGACAAAAGAAGAGAAGCTTCTTATCCCCCTCTGTTGGTTTTCACATTAAGCTTCACACTTAGAATCTCCAAAAGCTAAAGCACCTTTTATTTCATTCTCACCCTATTTTTCTGAATATTTACCAACTCTACCCTCTTTAGTTCTGGAATATCTACCATGGCTAGGCTTTCAGAAATTAGTTCTGGAACATATTTACAAGTTTGAATCGATGGAATTTAAATGGTAAAATTTGAAATAGTATTTTAATTTATCGGTTGAGGAGAAAAATATAATTGGTAATATATTTAAAATCCTATAATAACATCAGTGCCACTATATTAAAAGAGAAAAAAAAAATTTCATCTCACACGTGAGATTTTCTAATTTCATAATTTTTTATTGATAATACAATTTAAAATACTTAATTTTTTTTCTAAAAATATCTTTCAAATTCTTAGATTTTATTTTTAACCTTACTATATAATGTGAAATTTTATTGATGATTAGTCTTTATTGTGACGTGCATTGCATGTTGATTATGCTTGTTATACCTTTATTTTTGTACATTTTAAATTTTTTTATCTATATAATATTAAAGCATAAGTTTTTATTTAGATTAAAATAAATAAAGGTAATTAATTTGTATTATATTTTACTATATAAACTATCTGCAATGCTACTTCTTATACACTTAATTCTATTTTTATATAATGAAGTTATCTTAAAATAATATTCAACTCAATCCCTATATCTAATTATCTTTTAATTTCTAATTTATAAATCTAGATTTTTAAAATCTTAATAAATGTTCAAAAAGAAAATCAAATCATCACTCAATCCCTAAATCAATATCTATATACAACTATAATGAAAAAGAATAATAAATGATTTTTTACTCCTAGGTAAAAGAAAAGAAATGAAAAGATGATCTGAATTGATAATGAAAATCACTTTGACTACTGTGACAGTATTGCTTACCCATTACATTAATGAACATATGCATATAAATACAAATTCTTGAAACCCCAAAAGGTGATCCAAAACAGAAATATATAGTTCTATTTTTTTTTTATTTTCCAATTTCCTAAACACTATTTTCTTTTAAGTTAAACAGATTTAGAATATAAGAGAAACAAATATCAAATAAATTAAAAATGCTTAATCATCAAGATGTCATCTATTTATTGCAAGGGAGAATTAAAATGATAGTAATTACAAATTATTCGGTAATGAAAAAGAAAATAAAAAATTATTATCTTTGATGTATATAGATATATTAATATATTAATAAAATATTATATATTTTTTAAATAAAAATTTTCAACCGTTTGCCATCCCGGGTTTAATTATGTAAATTCTATTTAATTTTTTTTTAAATACAAACATAAAAAATATTAATAAAAATAATATACTCTTTTATGTATCTCCTAAATAAAATATTATGTATATTATATTTGAAAATTTATTTTAATAACAAACATAAAAAATATTAATCAAAAATAAATATACTACTTTTTAGTATCATCACTAAATAAATATATTATAGTATATTATAATTGAAAATTTATTTTTAACAAATTTATCCAATCAATCATATAAATTAATATAAGAAAAAAGAATATTAATGAAAATAATATTTTTTCTTTTTTATTCCTTAAATAAAATATTTTTAAATTAATTATCAAAAATAAAATTAATATTTTTAATAAATAAAATATATAAAATATTTAAATATTTTTATTATCATCAATATAGTATATATATATATATGATATATATAATATATATAATATTAATTAAAAATTAAAAATGAGGAATTATAGAGTAAAAAATTTTGAATGCTATAATTATACTATATGATTATATATTTAAAAATATATATTAAAAAATAAATTGAGAAAAGATTAGAAGTAAAAATTTTGAAATGCTTAATTATCTATATGTATTTATTTAAAAAATAATTTTAAATATATCCAATTAACTAATAAAATGTAATATTCTAATTGGGTGCGATTAAAGTTATTTTAGATATTCCAAAAATTTCATTAAGGGCGATATCGAAAATATCACTAGTCTCCCTATTTTGATATTTATATATATTTTAGATTCTACATACTATGAATTTTGTGGAATAAATGAATTTTAACTTCCATAAATCAAAATGATCAAATAAAATATATGGTAATTTATAAAATAATCACTAAATACATATATTTTATTTGTGTACATAGTTTGTAATTTATATTATTATACCATATTATATATATATATATATATAATTTAAATAGATATTATATTAAGAAAATAAAAATAAAAATAATATAAAGATAGAAAATGACAACAGGCAAAAAGAAAAATAAAAATGAATGACTAACTACTGCCATAATGCCAATGCAAAAACCCACTCAGAAGCTAGGGCGAATGGCAACATTGTGATAATAGGGTAGTAAGGGGTGGTTAGAGGGCAAAGTTATAAAGTCGTTCAAACAGTGGCCTATATAGTTGAATATCGTACAAGCCAGTTTAGTAGTAAGTTTAATTCTTTGTTCCATTTGATTCCAGAAAGTAAGTTTCTCTCTTTCTCTCTGTCTCTGTAAAGAAAGAATGGCCGCCATGAGTCTCCCTCCTGGTTTTAGGTTCCATCCAACAGACGAAGAGCTTGTTGCTTACTATCTGGATCGAAAAATCACAGGCAAAACCATTGAACTTGAAATAATCCCAGAAGTTGATCTCTACAAATGTGAGCCATGGGATTTGCCTGAAAAGTCATTTCTACCAAGCAAGGATATGGAGTGGTATTTTTACAGTCCAAGGGACAAGAAATACCCAAATGGGTCAAGAACTAACAGGGCAACAAAAGCTGGCTACTGGAAAGCAACAGGGAAAGATAGAGCTGTACACTCTCAAAACCGTCCTGTTGGAATGAAGAAGACGTTGGTATATTATAGAGGAAGAGCTCCCCATGGCATCAGAACCAACTGGGTCATGCATGAGTATCGCTTAACCCACCACTCTTTCTGTGCCCCTGCATCCATATCATCATCTTTTAAGGTATATCTGTTTAAAATATATCTCTTTAATGTTTTAGTTTTATGTTTGTTTCATTGTTTGTGTGTGAGATCGATACAGTTAGGGTTTATTCCTAGTGCAACGAAAAAGCTTTATTATTACTACTACTACCACTAGTACTGCTTACTGCTACTGTTATTATTATTAAATCTCTGTCCAAAATAGGGTTTCTAATGCTGTTGGGAAATTTTTATTCCGGTTAGATATCCTTTAATTGGAAAACCCTAGAAACAATAAGCTATATCTGAATAGGAAAGCTTTGAATCTGCTGGGTATTATTAGAATTATGCTAAGCCATGCATATTTGATCCCAAATCCGGATAAAGGTGGAGGGTTATTGTAGCCAGTAGGTGACACTGACTGTAAAATTTGTTCTTATTTCTTTGTGGATCCATATTTATTGCGGATCCAATCCAACAAGTTTGAGATTAAGGTTTCACTTTAAGATGTGAAATGATTTTGAATGCTTTGAAATGAATTTGAACAATCATGTGGCTTCACTTTATGATGTGAGGAGAAGAAAAAGCGCATAGACTTATAGGCTATTCTTCTTTATGCATGTTAAATGCAAAGGAGAGAGAGAGAGAGAGAGAGAGAGAGAGAGCTTATGTTACAATGGAATTTGTAACAATCATGTGGCCTTTCATCTTTTTTATGATGTCTGAGGAGAAGGAACAAAATGCGCATAGACTTAATTTAGGTATGCTTTCTTTAATGCATCCTTTTTGATACGTTTGAACAGTAGTTAATGTCAAAGGAGAGAGCGAGAGAGAGAGGGAGGAGAGTGAGGGAGAGCGGGCCTCTGGCCTCCTCGCCATCGTCCCCACCCCGCCGGCCGCCCCCGCCCGCTACTCGCTCCGCCCACCTCCAAGTCATCAAACTTGAATGGATTTTATGAGCAGTTTATCGTTTTATCTTACTCTTCTCCTCGTGGTGGTGGTTTACAGACTAATAAAAAGTAATAAATCTTATCATATTTTCTTAACCGGAAAAGGTAAACACAGAAAGAAACATACAGGGGTTTTTTTATATTATTTCTATTTTGTTTCTTTGTTATTGGATGATCTCCGGGATAGTAGGGTGGTTTACTTTTTGTTTTGTCTTCTTTATGCATGTTAAATGCAAAGGAGAGAGAGAGAGAGAGAGAGAGAGAGAGAGAGGGGTTGGTTGTTCCGACCTCGTCAAGTCATCAAACTTAATGATTTTATGAGCAGTTTATCGTTTTTTATCTTACTTTTCTTTGAACGCTATAATCTTTCTTTCTTCTTTAACAAAGACTACCATATCAGCGTATGATGATGAAAGAGTCTTTGTTTGAAGACTTTATTTAGTGTACTTACTTGTATCTTTGTTTCTTTTTCTCCTTTTACGATATTGCTTTTATACATATAGAGAGATCTTTGTCTATTATCACAACTCTTTCACAAAAATCTAATACATTTTGAAAATTCTGCAGGATTCATATGCTTTATGCCGCGTTTTCAAGAAAACCATGCAAATTCCCAAATCAAAACAAGGGAAAAATGATGCAGAAAATGAGGATGACAATTATTGTAACGATGAGAATTTGAACATTAACGATTATTCTAAATTTCCAATATCCGATACATCTTCTTCAGATGTCACACAAGGTACTCCCATGGAAACTGCATTAGCCGATGATTCGCAGGCTCCATTTACCTCCGATGAAGCAAATAGCTCCGCTAACATGTATTCTATGGGTTTGGACTTCGCTTCAAATCTTCTTCAGGTATAAATATACTAACAAATCATGCATTGTTTGTTCATAATTTTTTTGTTAAAGAGGAAAAACAAATGATTTAATTTAGTGACTATATAGGAAAATTCATGCCTACACCAATTAAGTGATTATCACCCGGCGAATAAGTGATTATCATCTAAAAAAACTGTTACTCTTGACTGTTTCCTTTTTTTTATATACTCATTCTTATTTATGCTAATTATCTTTATTTGATTTGCGAGGTGTATCATGTATATATCTTGTGTAAGTAAGTCTTTTGTTATATAGATATTTAAGTGATAAAGGCTAATTATTAATTGAATGAAATGGGCCATACATGCAAAGATTAATGATCACATTTCAAACCCAAAAAGGAATGTCGTTGCATGCTTTATCACTAAAGCAAGATGTTTACACATCATTATGGAAAATTTACAAATCATAAGTTCAAAGTATAATCCCCTATCAGCCAATGGGCTGGAAATGGGCCCCATCAACTAAGTTTTTCCCCTTTTGATTAACTTATTGTCTTTTAATTTGATCTTAAAGTGAAAAAAAGTTGCAAGTGCAACAAACTCTCTCCATCTTTTCCTAAAGCTAATTGCTTCAAAAATCTCTTGGACCAACTCATTTTAGCTTTTCTCACAATCTTCTATGCATATAGAAATATATATACACACACATATATGTATGACCTCTTTTGACTGACTTGTTAGATTAAAATCGTTCAAAGTTGGAACATCTTTTCTTCCTGATTTTCCTCATGTAAAATATCACAATTCCCAATGATATATATGTTATTTTTCTAAACATGCAGGACATGGAGATCCCAAGCTTGCATAGTTATCAAATCGCGTATCCACCATTAGAAATAGATGACTTCCCACAGATAAATATAGCAGAGACAATGCCGGCGGCCAAGTCTGAAATCCACATTACAGAAGACTACTGCATCAACGCCACGTTAGATGATATTTTCTCTTTATGTTCCTCTCATGATAATTCTGTTGCCCAAGATTCAGTAATACACTAACAAGACAAACAGTTTTCTTATATTAATTGAATATTAACTGGGGATTATGGTGATTTTTATTCATTTGACACAAATCAAAGGTAGGTAATTGTGTTTGCCTCAATAACCAATTCTATAGGGAGATGGGGTTACTATATATAAAATTATACATATAATGATGGACCAAGGCATGCCATCTTTTTGATTAGTTTCTGTTCTTTTAGCATTTTTTCTTTTTTTCTTTTTTTCTTTTTTTTCACACGGTGGAAAGGGTCAAATTTAGAAATGGATTCTACAAATGTATCATCTTGTCATGTTGTATTATTTTCTAGTAAGTTAAGATTTTATTTGTTGCTTTCATATTCTCGCATGCAATATATATATGCCAATTATATATATATATATATAATTAATACTGTTAATTAAGTGAAAAATCACGTAGAAATATATAAACTTTATATTTATAAGGTGTAATTCTATATTAGAAAATATAATCTATTCAAATCACTTTCCTATCTATCTATACTATATATAAATGTCGGAACTGAAGGGGGAATAATGAGATTTCCGATAACACCTTCAATGAAATTTAGGATATTCTAAAGTAATCTTAGTCATAGCCAATTAGAAAATTATATTTTATTAGTTGATTGGATATATTTATAAAACTTATTTTAAAGTCAATCATGTATGGTCTGATTGTTTTATCACTTATTTATATAAGAAGCGTGAAGTTTCGATTTCGAATCTTCTGAACCACAAGTTTGTTTTAACCAATTTGGTGAGTCTAGGGGATAGTTATTAGTTGTTGTGTATCCTGCAGTGTTATTTCGGCGCCTCCTAATGAATAAAAAAAAATATATTGTTTGAATAAATACATATAGATAATTAAGTATTCAAAATTTTATGTTTTATCTTTACTAAATTTATTTTTTAATAAATATATATGACAACCAGACATTTGAAATTTTTCTATATATTTTATTTATTAAATATTTAATTCTAATTTAAATAATTTTATTTAGGGATACTAAAAGAAAAAAAAAAATTCTTTTTTATTAATACATTCTTTTTTTCCGTTATGTCTGTATTGATTTGATTTGATTATCTTTTTTTAAACTAATTTTCCAAATAGAATAAATATATATTTTAAATTTAGGAGAGAGATAAAAGAGAAGAAAAAATATTTTATTTTTTTAATATTCTTTTTATGTTTAATAAGATTTTTTAATGGATATATTTTAAAAAAGTTTTAATAATGAATTACATAATTAAACCTGGGATGACAAAAAGTTTAAAAAATTTTAATTTAAAAAAAAATTTTAATTTAAAAAATATATATAATATTTTATTTATATATTTATATATCTATGTACACTTTTTTTTTAGGTGAGTTTTGAAAGAGTTTTGTTCTTAATAATAATTTGTATTTTCTTTTTTGTTACTGAATAATTTGTAACTAATGTCATTTTAATATAGTAAGAGATTTATATCTCCTTTATAATAAATAGATAGTCTATTGATGATTACGCATTTTTTATTTTCTTAATATTTTTTTCTCTTATATCTTAAATCTATTTGACTTAAAGGAAAATAATGTTTAGGAAACTGGAAAAAAACTAGAACTATATATTTCTATTTAAGTAACCTTTTGGGGTTTCAGGAATTTGTGTGTTTGTACATATATTCATTTTTCTAATGCACTGGATAGGTAATACTGTTATTGTATCCAAAGTGATTTCCATTATCAATTCAGATCATCCTCTCATTTCATTTCTTTTACCTAGCAGTAAAATATAATTTATTATTATTTTTCATTATAGTTATACATAGATATTAATTTAGAGTTAAAGGCAAGAGTTGGAGATTGAGTGATGATTTGATTTTCTTTTTTGGGCACCTATTATGATTTTAAAATTTTGCATTTATAAATTATAAACAAAAGGATTAAGTCTAGAGATTTGGTTGAATATTATTTTGAGACCACTTCATTATATACATAGAATTAAGTATATAAGAAGTATTATTGTAAGGAGTTTGTACGACAAAATGTAATACGAATTAACCATTTCTATTTATTTTAATCTAAACAAAACTTATGATTTAATATTATAGATAAATAAATTATATATGTTATTTAATATATAGTATTATATATTTATATTATATATAAAAAATATATATAACGAGTATAGTCAACTTGCAACGCACGCCATACAAAAAACTAGTCTATACCAAGTGTATACACTTAACAAAATCTAATAACCATAAATAGTATTTAGATAGTGTTGAAATCTTTGTGATTAAAGTAAATATTGTGTTTCCTAGTTTAGGTTTATTCCTAATTAGTGTAAAGATTGTGTTTCCTAGTTTATGTTTATTTCAATTTAGATTACTTCTTATATTTGAACAATTTTTTGTATATATATGGTGGAGTAGAGGTTGAAATATATAACACAATTGAAAGAAATACAACATATTCTTTCTTTTAATTTCTACATGGTATCAGAGCCATTGCCGTGAATTTTTTGACAACGGTTTCAGTTTGTGAAGTGGTCTGAGATACACACAGCAGCACTGAAAGTGGGAGTTGGTCGTCATCGCCCGTCTCAGAAGGAAGAACGACCGCTGATCGGCACTCCATCCAAACCGTGTCACCGTCCGACCACGCGCATGTGCACGTGTGCCTCCGGAAGATTCTGACTATTCTTCACGCGCTGGTGCGTGCGGCTGTTTCCGGCAAGCTCTGTCGACAATTCTTGTTCCGGCGACCTCGACTTAGTGTGGCAACTCAGACCTATTGGTTCTTCAGCACCAGTTTTGCCTTTTGGAATTTTTTCCCTTTTTTGGTTTATTTCCACCACTGCTGCTGCTGCCTTTTACTACTGCTGCCGTTTAAGTTTTTTTTAAGATATGGTTGATGGAAAGAAGGTAGATATGGTTTTTCACTCAGAGAGCCCCTCACTTCAGATTAGTCCAGTGAAGTTAGATGGAACAAATAGATGAAAACTACTAGCTTGCGTCTGGTCTTGTTTCTTATCTCATTGAAGTAGGAGGTTTCAGGGATACCTTGATGGTGGAGCAATTAAACCACTTTCGACAGATCTTGGCCTTTAACAAGTGGAATCCGACGAATTCTCTTATTATGTCTTGGTTAATAAATTCCATGCAGGCCAACTATTTCCGCGAGGATATTTTCTTGATACAGCTAAGAAGACATGGGATGCTGCTTCATAGACATATTTCCACAAATTTGGAAAACTATCTCAGAGGTATATTGGCGACAAAAAGTTCATGACCGAAGCTAGGGAGATCTGACTATGGCTCAGTATTTTTGCTGAACTTAGTGGGTTATGGCAGCGAAAAATGGATTATTATCAAGATTTCAGCAAGATGTACTTGATGATCGCGCTCAGTTGTACTAATGATGCAACTCAAGTTCAGAAGTTGATTGAAGTAGAACGTGTGTATGATTTTCTGGCTGGCCTAAATAACGAGTATGATTAGATTCGAGTCCAACGACAAGCATACTCATTTGTAAAGTAAAAGGAGACTAGGAGGAACGCTATGGTTCACAAATCTACCATTGACAAAGTAGGGTTGATTGCTTATTCTGCAAGAGAAAAGAGCAGTTTTTCAGATTGAGATCAATTATTTTGTGACTATTGCGGTAAGAACAAGCACACTAAGGAGTTCTGCTGGAAATTACATGGACGCCCAACTAAGGGGCGTGGAGGAAAGCGCGCCCAACTAAAGGGCGTGGAGGATAGAGGGTCAGTTCTTCTAGATCACAGGCACACATATTTGATAGTGGAGCTTTATCTGAGGAACCATCTACTACTGGGAGCTTTTCTGATAAGGAGATTCAGTCCCTAAAACGATTGTTGTCATAGCTTGATCCGTCCTCAACTCAGACTGCAGCCTCTAATTTTGTTAATTCTAGTAATGCTTTCCTTACCTTTCTTGCAAAAATTGCAAAACCCTCGTGGGTTATAGATTCAGGAGCAAATAAACATACAACAAGCTCTATAAAACATTTATATTTCAGTCATCAAGGCACATGAACAAAAATTCGCATTGCGGATGTCCTTAGTACTAATTGCTGGACAGTTCTATTGACTTTGTACTTCCTATTAACTCTCTCCTGTTCTTCGATGTTCTTATGATTTCCTATTATCAACTCTGTTATCTATTAGATTAATCACAAAAGCACTTTAATTGCCAGTAATTTTTACCTACTCAATTTTATATTTCAAGAATGAACACGGGGAGAAACGATTGGTAGTGGTAGATTTGGCGCGAAGTGGACTTGTACTGTTTGGATGATGTTTGTCGTTTTTTCAAATTATGGGTACAGTCAAGCTTTGTTAGGAATTCTAGAATCCTTCCATGAAGTTATAATTTAATCGGCATATGAGATTAGGAACATCCCTTTTTTTTCTGTTTTAGGACGTTTATTTCCATTTGGTTTTGCTAAATGGTATTTTAATTTCATTAGTATGTTGATGCTTGTGAAACTTCCAAAAAGGCCAGGCATTCTTGATTCTCAATTTAAAATTAATAATAAAAATTTGATTCCTTTTGCCACTATTCATTTTGATGTTTGGGGTCCTACTAAAACTGTCTCTCTTTCTAGTTATAGATGGTTTGTGACATTTATTGATTGTTGAACTAGATTTACTTGGGTTTATTTGATGAAAACAAAACATTAAGTTTTTTCATGTTTTTAGAACTTCCATAAAATGATTTCTACTCAGTTTGATGCGCATGTTATAATCCTAAGAACTGATAATGGTACTGAATACATGAATCCAGATTTTCGTACCTATTTAGATTCTAATGGTATTATTCATTAGACTAGTTGTGTCAATACTAGTGTTCAAAATGGAGTAGTAGAAAGAAAAAATAGACATTTACTGGAAGTAGCTAGGCCCCTTATGTTCACTATGAATCTTCCCAAACCATATTGGGGGGATGCTATTTCGACTGCTGCTTACCTTATCAATCGTATGCCTCTTCGTACTTTAAATTTTAAAACTCCATTAGCGGTTCTTCAAGGAAAAAACTCTTATATTGTACCTACTGAAGTCTTTGGTTGTGTTTGCTTTGTTCATCAGAATGGTCTAAGCAAATTAGATCTTAGAGACTTGAAGTGTGTGTTTGTTGGTTACTCTACTACTCAAAAAGGATACAAGTGTTATCATCCTTCTTCTAGGAGATACTTTGTGAGTATGGATGTTACCTTTCGGGAGTTTGAATCTTATTTGCCT